CATGACCGTGAACCATTAATAACTGCTCTCTGAGAACAGTTATTCAATCACTTATGCATCCAAGTTATAGTAGCCCCCTCTATGTTGTATTTCTCTAGTTTATTTATGAGGACATGCAAGACTGTATCAAATGCTTGACAAATGTCTAGATATGCCACATACACTACTGCCGCTTCATCCACAAGGCTTGTTATCTTGTCAAAGAAAGTTATCAGGTTGGTTTGACAAGATTTGTTCTTGACAAATCCATGCTATTACTTATCACCTTTTTATCTTCTCCATGTTTCCAAATGGATTCCTTAATGATTTCCTCCATTATCTTTCCTGTCACAGAAGTTAAGCTGACTTCTGTTCCGTGGGTTGCCCTTATTTTCCTTTTTATAGATGGGCATACATTTGCCTTTATCCAGTCCTCTGGAATCTCTCCCATGTTCGATGACTTTTCAAAGATAATAGGTAATGGCTTCAATACCTCTTCAGTCGGCTCCAAAGATTGCAACTGCAGCAAAGTTACTGTTTCTTAACAGTAGCTTAAAACCTGTAAGTCATCACCTGTCAAAACCAAAACTTTAAATTCTACCCAGGAGCCACACATATAAAGGAAAGTGTTTTATGCTTAACCACACTCACTTAATATGCAGGCACAATGCAACTGTCTAACATCAGCTTCCACATTATCTCAGGTTATAGCCCCACAAGAGGTACCACTGCAGTAGTTCAGTCTGAAAGTGATGAAGGCTTGGATAAGTGTAAAAAGTCCTCACTCTTCCTGCCAGGCAGAGTACTTTAGGGGGAGTCTTCCTAATTTGTTTTTGTAGAAATATCAGGCTGGAAAGAACCTGATGAGGTCACCCCTGTTTTATGCACCCCATGCCCACACTGAGGCAGGTGGCAAAAGAAGTAACAGTATTTCTTTCATATTGTTGCATCAATATTTGTGGCGTTTCATTAAGTACATCCTTTATTTGTTGTTACTTACACTCTTCAAGTCTTAAAACACAAGTATATTTTTATAATTTCATAATAAAACAGCAGGAGTCTATGCCACGCCCCCACCCCAGCACCACCACTCACCGGCCGGGGCTGGCAGAGAAGGTGCAGGCCGGGCAGCTGCAGCCCACATGGTGCCACTCCCTGTCCGCACTGCACCAGGGCATGCCAAGAAGAGGTAGAGTGGGGAGGGCAAGAGAGGGGCAGAGCAAGGGAAGGGCAGGGGCAGAGCAAGGGGGCAGGGAGAGGTAGGGCCAGTGTCCCCACTCCTTCCTCTGTCACCAGTTGCCAATGCACACACAGAATATCTGAAACATTTTACTGAAAACATTTTCCTTTTTGGCACTAACAACAAAACCAGCTCCCCAAACCCGGCGTCCCCTAAAACCTAAATCTCTCTTGCTTCAAATTAAACCAATTGCTTCTTATCCTACCATTGGTAGATGGGAAGCACAGCTAATCACTCTCTTCTTTATAACGGCCTTTTGCATATTTGAAGACTGTCATCTGGTCCCCCACCCTCAGCATTTTCTAGACTAACTATTCATTCAACCTGTCCTCAAAGATCATATTTTCTAAATTTTGGGTCAGTTTTGTTGTTCTCCTCTGGCCTACTTCCAATTTGTTCACATCTTCCTTGAGGTGGGGAACACCGATCTGGACAGTCTTCAGTTGATGCCTCAACAGTGCTGAGTGGAGCAGAACATTTGCCTCCTGTGCCTTATATACAGCGCTCATAGAGTGACATTTGCCTTTGTCACAACTGCATCACACTGTGGTCTCATATTCAATTTGTGATCCACTAAAACCTCCAGAGCCTTTCCTGTGGTGCTGTTGCCTATCCACTTATTCCCTATTTTATATTGGGCATTTGATTTTTGCTTCAAAAGTGTAGTACTTGGCACTTGGGTATGTAAAATCGTTAATGTTTTCTGGAGGGTTTTTTAATTGGACTTTAATTGACCTGAAAGGATTCCTTAAACAGATGTTTGTGTTCTTCTGAATTCTCATAGTGCATGTTACCACCTTTATAAAACATTTATTTTAATCAGGAACAGCTTGAAACTTAAAAAAAAAAAAAAAACAAACCTGTGGCTTGTACAATACTCATGTCACCAGTCAAATTAATCCTCATTATTGAGCAAAGAGATCTGTCTGGAAACTTATTGTTTTTATTTCCCTACTTTCATGGTCTCATATGGTTCAAGTTTCATAGAATAGACTCAGTTATCTAGGACAGGGGCTCCTAATCTTTTTTCTTTCTGAGGCTCTATCTAACTTTCTATAACAACTCCCTGGCCTACCAGTGCCTGCATACAAAAGCTGGGACCAGTGTTAGAGGGTAGCAAGCAGGGCTATTGCCTGGAGCCCAAATGCCACAGGGGTCACTGCAAATCTCAAATCCTCAGGCTTTGGCTTTAGCCCTGCACAACAGCACTTGGCCTTTCTGCCCTAGGCTCTAGTGAATCTGACAATGGCCCTGCTTGCTGTCTGCCCAGGGGGCCACAGAGGAACTAGGGGGGGCGTGGCCCAGACTGCAAATAGTGGTAAGAGTGTGGGATGGGGCGCCCTGTTGCAAGTTCATGCTATGCCTGAAAACTCGATGCTTGAGCCCTGCTGTAGTACTCATGACTTAGGAATTACAGTATGTGTCAGTTCAAATTTGCCGTCTTCATTTCTCTAATATTGTGTATTTGTCTGAAAATTAAGAACATGACAGCATTGTATACTGAAGTGCATGTTTAGTTACCCACATGATTAGGTACAGTGCAAAACAAATGACTGGAACTCAGGTGTTCTGCACTATTATTTTATTCAAAATATATTTCAGCCACTGCTGTCTCACTTGCTTTCTGCCTGGTTAGAGCTGAGCAAGCTATTTGTAGCAGGCCCTTTTTGGTTGCACATTTCCCACAGACAGACTTGAATTTCTTCGTCCAATTGCAGGCAATTCAGCTGTGCCTCACTTCCTGAAGTTACTAGAGCCTGTTCAGAATTGTCTACAAGGCACCAGCGTCTGGCCATGCCCCTCTCACCTTCACACCAGATTCTTTCCCCCACAAAATTATGGACAAAAGCTGTGCTCCAGCACTCCTGCCTGCCTGTCCATTGCAATCCTAGCTGTTCTGGCTGGTTTGAGGGTCAACAGTGAGAGAAATATTTCCCACACTTTCCTCTTTCTGCAGGGGCTAAAATGTCCAAGGCTTTCTTTTCCAAGTAAAACCATTCACTAAACCTTTTGTTCCTTCTTCCCTGTGATGGCAGAGCAAGCTGAGGTGTAAGTGGTACTCTGCCTGTAAGTTGAGCAAGTGATAAATCTCAAAACTGCCATGATTACTCCTAGCCCATACTCCCTTCTGTGTACCCTGGATAGGAGTTTGGATAGTTTGTTTAGGGCAGGCATGTCCAAAGTCCGGCCCGCGGGCCAATTGCGGCCCGTGTTCTGGTTTAATACGGCCCCACAGGTAATTTGGCAATATCTATCTTTTATGGCCCCCAACAAATCCATATGTATTGAGATGAATACATTGTAAAATCTCAGTTAATGTCAGTTGGTCTAAATCAGTTATAAATATATTTGGACACAACATGTATACTTGGTGTTATGTTCCTGTTCATATTTTTTGAACTTAAAAGTTGACAGACAACCTTTATTACCAATAATATGTAATGTACTTTACAATGTTCCTGACATATATTTCAGCTTCCTGGATTTTTTTTTCATCTGGCCTTCAGATATGAAAGGCAGAGTGATTTAACACCTGTTTAGATTTGTCATCCATGTGACGAAATGAAAAGTATGCCGTTTGCAATAAACTTTGCATAAAATAGTTAATTTGCATTTAATTTTAATGGTTCAAAGAATGTCAGGCAAAATGGTCGGCCCTCACGCATGTTCACTTCATCAAATCTGGCCCTCTTTGAAAAAAGTTTGGACACCCCTGGCTTAAGTGCAAGCATTGACCCAGATTGACGATAGTCTTATCAGAGTCGCCAGCCTGCACAGCACTTACGCTAGGTTTCTGTCTTCCTTCGCTTAACCATAGCAATGCACATGCATCACTAAGATTCCTTCAACAAGTTTTGTAGTGAAGGTTGGTTTTCTTAGGACATCTTATCAGACTGTTCACACTGATCTAGTCCTCTCCAAGAGTAAGTCCAGTAATTTCTCCTGAGGTCAATACACTTCTAACAGGAGAATCCCATGGTGCCATACCAGTTTCTCCAGTACACATGTGAATCACTTGGCAAGGAAGGTAGCATTTCTAGGGAGAGTAAGAACCCAAATGTTTCAACTAGGAAAGAGGTCAGTCCCAGACAGCAAATAAACTTTCCCTTTCAAAAATGTGTTGGTTGATTAACATGTTTGCTAAACAGTCTCCCCACTGAAAATAATTAAACAAAGGTTGCAATTACAGACCTATATCAGTCTGGTGTTTAGTTGTAGTAACAGAGATGTAGCCATGTTAGTCCGGTCTTGCTGAAACAAAAGACAGGACTATGCAGCACTTTAAAGACTAACAAGATGGTTTATTAGTTGTGAGCTACTCACTGTGACCATGTCTTTCACTGCTAGGAACATGATTGGTCACCTACGCCACAAGTTGCTGTGCCTTCACTGGATGACTGAAACCTTTATAACGAGATTGTGGGGAAACTGAAGATTTATTCTTTTTGTTGTGAACAGATTTTTCAATTCCTTTGAATATTCTACGTACAAAAAGTCTACTGAAAATAAATAAAAGGCTGGAAATACTTCTACCAAGTTTTATTTTTTAAACAAATATTCATTGATGCCTTTTTTTCATTATTCTCCTGGCTATGTTTATAGGGTTTCCTAATATGAATAGTATTTATCATTAGCACAAATGTCAGACTTTCCGAATGTATGTTCAGTATTGCAACCATGACGGCATCCTAGATCCTTTTTGTAAAAATACCCAATTGAAGTAAAATACCCATATATGCAATCGTGTCTGATGCATGCTATTATTATATATATTTTACAGAGTTCGTTTAGTAGAGAGAGGATCGCCTCATAGTTTGCCCCTAATGGAGTCAGGAAAAGTAAGTACTGTACTGACCATGTCTTCTGCACTCTTAAAGGTTTCTTTGATTTTCACTCTGTTAATTTTTCTGAAGTGAATTTGGTGCTCAGGAAAGCTCTGACAGCTGTACAGACAGCAGTCCTGTCATTTATCCACCGAGAAGTTACAGCACAGTAGCTCTAACAGAGCTCTTAACACTACTCCAGCAACTTTTCTCCCTCTATTATGAGGGAATTGCTTCCTACTCCTGAGATAGTAGCCCAGTCTCTGCCTATTCAGTCCTCTCAGGCCAGGTCTACACTAGACCTGGAAGGTTAGGTTAAGGTACGCAACTCCAGATTTGTAAAATTGGTAGCTGGAGTCGACTTACCTAAAGCCAAGCTTGGCTCTGTCTTCACAGAGGGAGGCCGAAAGGAGCAAACGCTCCCATCTGCTTCCCATAGTTCTTGCAACTGTGAGGAGTACTGGTGCCTAGTGGAGCTGTCCTAAGCATTCAGTTTAGTAGGTCTTAACTAAACCCACTAAATCGAATGCCAGAAGATCGATCCCTGGCATGGCAAGTGAAGACGTGGCCTCAGTTGCTTTTCAGAAAACTACTTGCAGCTTTCTAGGCAGTTATGGTTTTGATGATGACACATGTCCACTGGAAATTGGACTGAGACCACCAAGACATTCCTACATTCTTCATAGGCCACCATACTTCTGGGGGCAGGGCATCTTTGGCGTCTGTGGGAGGCAGTATGGGCTAGTGGTTAGCCAGTAGTAGAGTCAGGTACAGAACTCAGGTCTATTGAATCCCTGTCCATTGATCTAAGTAGGTGATTATGGGCAAGACATTTCACCTCCCAATGCCTTGGTTTCCTTCTCTGTAAAATGGGATGATTCTGATTGTCTGTATAAAGCACTATATAAGAACTCCTTATTTATTTGTTACTACTAAGTTGGGCTAAATTTGAACCAGTCAGTGAATGGTTCCGTTATTGCTAAGTTGAGTGTCCAGACAATCTTCCTTAAAGAACTGAAACAGAAACTCTTGGCACCATGATACAGTGAAAGCTGAGTTTATAGACTGTTTGGCTTTGGGTCAGCAGACTCCCTACCTGACTCCATGTGGTTCCTCAGAAGTGGTTACTGGTTCCTGCTGCTCATAGTCAGAGCAACAGCCTTGGGGGCACCATGTATTCCCTTGCTCTGCCCCCACCCTGTGCACTGACTCTACAGCTTCCATTGGCTGGGATCCACAGCCAGTGTGAGCTGCAAGGGTGGTGCCTGCCGGCAGGGTCAGCATGCAAAGCTGCCTCATTGCCCCTCCACCTAGGAGCAGCAGGGAATATCACCACTTTCAGGGAGCCTTCCAAGGTGAGCGCTTCCCAAATCCAGCACCCTAACAACCTTCCCCATCTCCAGTCTCCTGCCCTGAGTCCCTTCCCACATGCAAACTCTCTCCCAGAGCCCACATCTCCCACACCCCAACCGTTAGCGCTGAGCCCCTTCCTGCATTCAAACTCCCTCCTCCTACTAGTTAACCAGAATTTTTAACTTATTGGCACCTCCTATTCCCTCAACATGCCAGGTAACAAAGCTTGGACTGTGTATATTCATTCATTCTCCCCCTATCAGTGTTATCTTTGCCATCTGTTCTGATAGTATCTGAGCACCTTCCATAGGAACCAATAGCAAAGTCCCTAGTAGATTTCCTGGGGTCACCAGTACTTGTCCCGTTTTTTAGTTAAAATTTTATTTGGGGGTAGAGATTTTGGTTTGGATTATTTTAAAACTTATTCAGTATTTTTAAAATTTATTTATTTTTGGTAAGAAAAGCATGTCAGTGTTATGTCATTCTTACGACTGAAAGACTTTTACAAAGAGTCAGATTGGCAACATTTCCTAAATACAGTTATTCAGGATTGGCTTATTCTCTTAAGCGGGTTTCTTCTACAACTGAATCCCTTGAGTGATAAGTGGAAAGCAAGGGATTTTCTTATCAAAACCTGTACTGGCAGCAATATGTAACAGCACTGTATTAGGTGTATCTATGACAACTAGATAATGCCATTCCTTAAATAATATGTCAGGTTTTTTAAGGAGTCAGATAAAGTGCTTCTGAGGACAAGAATCATTTGTATAGTTACATAAGCAGACATGTACATCATCTGGTTTCTTACAGAATATGACTCACTTTGTCTTTCAATAGATCCTCCCTGGTGTTCGCATCATTATAGCTAATCCTGAAACAAAGGGACCCTTAGGGGATTCTCATCTTGGTGAGGTGAGTCACAAAAATTGCCCCTTAGTCTGTTTGTAAATTAAATTATAGGAACAAAATCCATTTTAATCAAGTTAAATGAATTCTTTAAATAAATATAAAGATATTGTAAGATCAGAAATATCTGTACAACATACAGCTTTATAATGTGTGAAATTAACAGGAAAAAAGTTGCTGTTGCTATTAAAAACCTTTTTCTTGTTGAACTTGAAAAATATGAGTATCTCTTTAAGAAGAGTACAAATTTTTTTAAAAAAATAACCTTGTTTTTTCCTTCTTAATTTTCTACTTATTACTTCTGACAAAACCTTAGTTGGAGCAAAGGATATTTCTTTGATTAGTCTAACTCAGGGGTGGGCAAATTCCGGCCCACTGGCCGGATCCAGTCTGCAGGGTTAGTCCCTGGCAGGCTCTCACTGCCATTTTTACCTGTGCCTCTGCAGGTGTCGGAGGATCGCAGCTCTGGTTGGCCGGGAATCGCCATTCATTGCTAACGTGAGCAGCGGCGGCCCGGTCCGTGGCACTTCCTGCCACTTGCATTGGCTGTGAACGGTGATTCCTGGCCAAGCAGAGCTATGATTTTCAATACCTGCAGAGGTGCAGAAAACATACTGGTGGTGGCCCACCTTGGCCTAACTTCAGCTAACTGGAGTTGTTTTATGATCATGATAACGTAAAGCACTAAAATGTTCTGCTTAATATAGTTTAGCAAAGCTGTGTGCATTTTCTGTTTAGTTCATGTTTCACTGAATAATAAAATTGAACTTAGATTGTTTGATTTTCAATGAGCAAATCAGAATTTCAATAAATAAAATAATTTGTATGGTCATGATTAAAATAACAGTACAACTTTTGAGAATATGTGATACTTCCCCCAAAAACAAGTTAATGAAATCCCAGAGTTGTATGCTAAGGCTGGAGAAGAATATTTTATCTAAAAATCCTGTCAGTGTCTTTTTCATTATTCAAAAAAAGGTAATTTGTCTCGCTTAGTTCTGCTTTGCCTGACTCTCAAGAGTTGTGAGGCTATCTTTAATATTTTGAAGATGAAAAGTGCTTTGTAACTACTAACAGTATTATTGTTTGATAGCTAGGGGTCACACTCACCAAAGTAGTCTTATGGAGTGAGTTTGTGGCTGCTTTTATACCAGCTGAAAAGGCTGGGACCATGTAAACACTCTCTGAAAATCTTGGATCAAGCTGGGGAAGAATTTCCAACTGCACAGAGACTGTGAGAAAGACCTATCTGTAAATGTGTCATCAAAGGACTCCTCCAAGTGCTAATGTAGTAGGCACGAGTGGAAGGGGCATGTCAGTGCAGCGTCACAATAGAACACAACACTGTAGAAATCCTAGATAGCATTGCAGCTCGTGGCACAGTCCTATAACTGATAGAAATTAGAGAATTCTTGGGGGTTGTCTAAGTTATGCCAGAAGCCTCTTGAGCCCTCTGAGCAACCTCAGGCCATGAGGCTACAAAGGGTAGGCACTTCCCTGCGGTCGGAATCCTGGCTGCACCTTTAAGAGACATGGAACCTCACTCATTGACTTCAGCAAAGCTTCATGTGTAAGGCAAGCAGGATTCAGCCCTCAAATAAGTATAGAAATAAGGTGAGTATTTAATCAGAACACATCATGTTAAAGGGTACTCTAGACATATCTAGTTCTGATTGAAAATAGATGCAAGAATTTTCAAAAATACTTCACCCTGGATAGATGCTTTAATTAATGCCAGTGTAATTGCTTTTTACTTAGATATGGGTTCACAGTGCTCATAATGCAAGTGGATATTTCACCATATATGGAGATGAATCTCTGCAATCAGATCACTTTAATTCAAGACTCAGCTTTGGAGACACACAGACTATTTGGGCTCGGACTGGCTATTTGGGGTTCTTGAGGAGAACAGAACTTACAGATGCAAATGGAGGTAAGAACATGAGTTCTATCTATCTACAAATGTATGTTTATACATAGCTTTGAATGTGCTGTAAAGTTGTCCACTCATTCGTAGCCTGCTGTGTTGTAGGAATAAATGTTCACCATCAAATGCTCTATAATCCTCCGAAGAAGCATTTTCGAAATAGATGTCAATAAGAAAATAAAACAGTGGAACACAATGCCTGCCAAAAATGACTGCCTGGTTATATTTCTTTTCTTACATGTGGTTCTTTTGTATGTTTTCTTTACATGCTGTAAGCTCCATGAGAAAGAGACCTTCTGATGCTGCCAAATGTCTCTAAGCTTTTTGTCTGGAAAAACATGGAATGTTACATACATTGCCCCACTGCTGCAGTTGGATCTGCATGAACAGATCCTTTCTTATGGAACACTGCTGCGCAATTGAGACTTAGGCTTCTCACGGGGACACCCTCATCTAATAACCCTACAATTTCTGTGAAGCTGTTAACAAAAGTTGTCCTATTTTTGAACTCACCCAGTCTTTAGGACAGTAGAAGCAAATAATAGCAATTTACTGTAAGCTGTAGTGTGTAAATGAAGATATAGGAAATATTTTGGTTTATATCAGAGTAGCACAGGGCCATATTAATCGCTAGTGAGACATCCTATTTTTATATAAGCAAAGAAATGCTGTGAGGCAAAAGACAGTCTGTATGGCTGAAATTCCCTGATTGAGAAATTATTCTGACTGGCAAAATACAGAGACTGGCTATGAGGGTTGTGGAGATTGCTATAGTTTCCAATGTCTCAGCATTTGCTGTGCCCCTGGTAAGAACCAACTATCAAAGTGTAACTGCTGAAATGTTCAGTGATTACACATTTACTTAAACACATTTTAACATCCCTAATTCAAAGCTGCATGATATATTCAGATCCCAGAAGTGTCAGTTTTACTCATTATGCTTTAGAGGCAAATAAACAAACTGAAATAAAACTCACCGTGTGAAGCCTTAACAAGTAAGATTCCTTTGCTCTCCATGCACCCTTCTTAAGAACAAAGGTGTGATCTGGTGTCAGCTAAACATTTCTCTTTCTTCCATATTGTGCTCAGCAACCTGATAAATATAGTACTGCATAGGTACAAAATTAGTATCCGCATCTGCATCTTCAATAATTTGCGGATATCGGCATCCACATCTGTGGAAAGCAGATATAAAACAGATATCCACAAATTTCCATAGTTCTGGGTCCATAATTTGTATCTGCATCCATATCCACAAAATTGAGCCATAGATATACTCATCCCTTGATGTTGATATCTGCGGATTTGAAGGGCTTTACTGATTAGCTGTTGCCTTTCAACCCGCATTCCATTTCAATAATCATGAATGTAGGTAACTTGTAAAGGGCTTTCAAACTTTTAAAATTCAAGCATACTTTATAAATGGAATGTTACTATTTTACTTATTTACTACTGTGGACGTTTTATAATTTATTTAACATAGTAGAGATTTAAGTCATTGCTTTTCTCTCTCTGTAATTAGAGCGACATGATGCACTTTATGTTGTGGGTGCACTAGATGAAGCCATGGAGTTACGAGGGATGAGATATCATCCAATTGATATTGAAACATCAGTAATTAGAGCACACAAGAGCATTACAGAATGGTGAGTGTTTTGAAACACTGTGAGTCTTGCATCAAACTATAGTCTGTACAATAATTTTCTGTGATTCAGGAAATATGCAGTGTTCCAAGAGTTTATAACATGACCGTAAATATTCACTCTCTAAGCTAACACTTGATATAAACAGCTTTTATCAGGAGGGACCATTTTCTTTACAATTAAAAAAAAAAGTGACATGCTGTTTCATGATAATGGTGAATTGTTTGGGTTTTATTTTGAATTATTTTTAGTAGTGGGGTTTGGAAGTTTAGCTGTGTTTTCCTTAAGTGTGTTTTCCTTCTTCAGTCTTTTTTGGAATTCCTTTAGAAAGCAGAAAACAAGTTACGTTCATTATGGAGCTGAGACCAATTATTGATTAAATATCAAGATGTTGAATTAGTGATTAACTGCTTTTCCTAGGCATTTGTATAACACAATTCTTGGCATTTATATCAGTGGTCACCAACCAGTAGATTGGATCTACTGGTAGATCATGGAGCCTCTGACAGGTGATCCTGACTGGTTTGGCCAAGAGGCTATCAAGTACCAGCATTTCAGATGCCCCTCGCCCTACTGCTGCACACCTCCTGTCCTTTGCCTTGGAGCTGCCTCCACTCACCTTTGGGAGCCTCCTACTTGCAGGGCAGGGGAGGGAGAAGAGGGGCGCTGATGTCAAGGTGCCCCCTCTACCACCCTGTATCCTGTCTCGAGAGAGCAGAGAAGGGGGCACAATAGGACTTGGGATGGAGTTTGCTGGCTGCTTTGAGGAGTGGTGCAGGGCCAGGGCAGGGGAGAGCCTGCCTTAGCCCCCTTGTACCACCACCTAGGAGCCACCTGTGGTAAGCAGGGCCCAGCTGGAGCCCACATCCTGAAATCCTACTGCAGTCATGAACTCCGCCCCCCCATCTGCACCCCAGGTCCCTGCCCCAACCCCACGCACCCCTGCATCCAAACGCCCTCCCAGAACCTGCACCTAGAACCCCCTCCAGCACCACAACTTCCTGCCCCAAGCTCAGCTCAGTGCCCCTCCCACATGCCAAATCCCTTAATGCAAGACCAGAGCCTGCACCCCAACCCTCTGCCCTAGCCTGATGAAAGTGAGGGAGGACAGAGTGAGCAAGGGTGGGGCCTCGGAGAAGGGGCACAGAGAAGATGGGACAAGGGTATTTGGACTTGAGGTAGATCTTGGATTGCACTTAAATTCAAAAAGTGATCTCGTGCTTAAAAAGGTTGGAGACCCCTGCTTTAAATACTATGTAAGTGTAAGAGCCAAAACTGTACTTGCAAAAAGTATTGTGTGAAGTCACTAGGTAAAATTTTCAACAGTGCCTTTGTCCCCACTGACTTTCAGTGAGGATTTAGGTCCTTTTTGAAACCTTCACCCATTATAAGTATATATTTTACTTTCTGCGTAGCCGAGTGGTCTCCATCCTTTTTAAGCACAAGATCACTTTTAGAATGCAAGTCAGTCCAAGATCTACCTCAAACCCAAATACCTCTGCTCCACCTCTTCTCCAAGGCCCAGCCACTGGTCCACCCCTTCGCCGAGGCCCCACCCTCCTCACTCTGTACAGATGGGGGACAGAGTAACATCAGCATCCCCCTGCCTCTGTCTCCCCCACCCTGCACAACAAGCAGGAAGCTCCCAGGGGCAGTTCTGAGGCTCTGGGCAGGAGCAGCAGGACAGTGTGGGGAAGGGCAGCTGAAGGGCTGGTACTTGATAGCCTCCCAGACGGACCAGTCAGGATCACCTGTCAGAGGCTCCAAGATCTACCAGTAGATCCTGATCTACTGGTTGATGACCACAGACCTAACCTCTTCTAGACCCAGGGCATTATCTTTGTACCTGGGGTCAATGCAGAATTCTTGCTCATTCTGTTTTTCAGTATTTTCAGTAATTATGGGAAGAAGCATGCATGCACAGTGGAACTATAGATAGATAATTCCCATATCCATCTGTACTTAACATGTATTGTTAAAGAATGCAGAAGAATGTTACCATAACACATTTCTGTCTTGATGTCAGACTTAGCTATGCATCGGTATAAGCAAAACTTGCATTTTGAAACCATCTTTAATAATATAAGAAATCTTAAGAAATTATGTATGTGTTTGTAATTTAATTAAGAATACACAATGCTACCTCATTTAAACTAACCCTGGAAAGAGGAACAGAGCATATATCTTCGTTGCATATGAAAACAAGTGGTATTCCCTGTGTGTACAATAACAGAATATATAAGCCCACAGAAAGGATTTTGGGTACATTACGATACTCAGTTCCTTCTGAAACATTACAGCCACTTATTGGTATTTCAGATGACGTTAATATAATGGAATATTGCTGGCTTGGCATGAGGGACTTATTTCCAACTCATTGGCTTTCATTGTGTCTACAGAGCATGATTCCTGCTTTTTGTGGAAATGTAACCTTCATGTATTCCTAATTTTTTTTTCAGCTCAAGAATTCTAGAAAGCAAATATGTATTCAAAACATCGATGCATGTCTGCAACTTTAACATGACTTTAGCGGGGCCTCTGTGTGGAATGCATAAATATAATATGATCCATGACTGTACAGAGAGGTGTCTGTCACCAACAAGTTCTAGCCATTGCATGTGAAATGAGGTTCCGGCATCCCAAGCTCCATTGTTAGTTTACTCAGTGTCTAGAAAAATAATGCCTGGGGAACTTTGAAATTACATTCCAAAGGTTCCGAACTATCATCAGTGTTTAGGGCATAACGGCCAATATTTATGTATTTATTTTATTTATTTATTTACTTACTTACTTATTTTATTAGCCCCAATAAACCACATGCAAATATCCCCCTTTCCTGCTTTCCATGTGTCCAGCAGGATTGTGTATCAACAGAGTTGTATTTTCATGAAGTTTACATTTTGTGTTAAATAGTCAGAATCCCTCTATTAAATAATTCAGTTAAAATAGCTTTCAAACAAAATCCTACTTGTAAAAAGGCCAGTGTTTCTGATCTGCATGGGCAAAATAAGGTTGCTCCTGAGTCTTCCTCTCTTTATGCAAACATATGTAAGCAAACTTATATATATAAACAAAATGCACTTTTGTACTGCATACTCAATCCTTGGTTGTTCCTGAACATCAAATCATTACTTAATGAATGCATTAAAATAATACCTAGAATTCGACCCTTATAAATGAAAATGTCACTAATTCATATTGTAATTGTGGCTAGCCTTAGCCTGCTCTACTGTAATCTACAGGTGAGCATAGACGTGCTGCAACACCTTGATGTAGCAAGTGGCCAAGGAAGTAACTTCCTTTTGAATTTCTTGTTGCAAATGTTAATTTAGGTCATCTCAACATTAAGGCATGTGTATAAAGCAATCCATCAGTGTTCCAGGGCCTCATGGGAGAAGGTCTCCTTCCAGACTGACCACTGCTCTTGTTAATATCCCACATCATTCAAAACTCATTAGACATTCTGCTAAAATACAGTTATAGATGAAAGCAGGTTTTTAGCAACATGAAGGCAGGAGGCAGCCACTCTGTCTACTTCTACTGAATTTCTAAGCCAATAGACACAAAAGAACTTTAATCCAACAAAATTTTGTGTGGTATACAAACTAATATTTTTTTAAGTACGTCTCTCCTGAAAGATACTTTTATAAGCTTTAGAAGAAAGCACACATTCTAAATTTTAGACATGGATGGATAACTGTGAGTGCTATGCATTTTCCAGAATCATAGACTATTAAAACTGGAAGGAACCTCAAGAGGACATCAAGTCCACTCCCCTGCACTCAGAGCAGGACCAAGTATCATCTAGACAAGTGTTTCTCAACCAGTGGTATGAATACCCTTATGGGTACTCGAGAGAAGTCTGGAGGATTTGTCAACACAACTGAAATTTGGAGAAAACTGAATTTTTGTTTTAAGTTTTACAGCGCTTTATTATTTTTGTACTTTTTACACCCCAAAATTTCATCTCCTGCCTAGCTACAATTGAGTTATTTTAAACAAATGTGCTGCAATGGTAGAAAAAACATTTGACTGAAAACTAGGTATTGGGGGTACTTTTTTTTTTTTTTTTGAAAAAGGGGTACTTTATTTAAAAAAAAAAGTTGAGAAACACTGATCTAGACCATCTCTGATAGGTGTTTATCTAACCTGCTCTTAAAAATATCCACTGATTAGAGATTCCACAACTTCTCTGGGCAATATTCTCCAGGGCTTAACTACCCTGACAGTTAGGAAGTTTTTCCCAATGTCCATCCTAAACCTCCCTTGCTCCAATTTAAGCCCATTGCTTCATGTACTATCATCAACAGTTACATGCTTTTAGGTACTTGAAAGCTGTTATGTCATGTCCCTCTTAGTTCACTTTTTCAGACTAAACAAACCCAATTTTTTCAATCTTCCCTCATGGTCATGTTTTCTAGACCTTTAATCATTTTTGCTGCTCTTCTCTAGTCCTTCTCTAATTTCTCCACATCTTTCCTAAAATATGGTGACCAGAACTGGACACAATACTCCAGTTGAGGCCTAATTAGTGCAGAGCAAAGCAGAAGAATTACTTCTTGTCTTGCTTACAATACTCCTGTTAACACAGCCCAGAATATTTGCATGATATCTGACTCCTTATCCACAAGACTTGCTAACTTATCAAAGAAAGCTATCAGCCTCGTTTAGCATGATTTGTTTGTGAGAAATCCATGCTATTATTTATCACCTTCTTATCTTCTAGATGTTTGCTCCATTATGTTCCCTGGCACACAAGTTAAACTGACTGGTCTGTAATTCCCTGGGTTGTCCTTATTTCCATTTTTATAAATGTAATGGAACAAGGACACTCTGAATTGGAGTTTTGATATCGGGATGTAATATAGTTGCACACCCCTAGGGCTGACTGAGGTTCTGGAGAATCTTTTGTACTTGGCTGGTAGTAGATAATGCAATTTAGGAAACTAGGACATAAGCTCATAAGTAAGGGAATAAAAGGTCAGCACTACATGTGGAATAAGTGTCATCTGTGGGGTTAAAGTACTTAACCTTACTGCACTACAGTTGAACTGACAGCACTGTCTCTTCCTGTGAACAAATTCTCCCACAGTCTGTGATGTCTATCTGGAAAGCAACCAGAAAGCGCAGTATATTTAAAGTGGAAAACATAGATCTGTCAAACCGGGAAGGAATCTGATAAACCAATCTTCTAATAATTATGTTTTTCATGTATTCCAGTGCGGTGTTTACCTGGACAAATCTGTTGGTCGTCGTAGTAGAGCTGGATGGATCAGAGCAAGAAGCCTTGGACCTGGTTCCTTTAGTCACCAATGTGGTCCTGGAGGAACACTATCTGATTGTAGGGGTCGTGGTGGTGGTGGACATTGGTGTAATTCCTATCAACTCCCGTGGAGAGAAACAACGTATGCACCTACGAGATGGATTTTTGGCAGACCAGCTAGATCCCATATATGTGGCCTACAACATGTAGTCTTGTATCTTAAGGCTTCCATGGACTTTTACTATAGATGTATAAAATTTTTTGGTGTCCACTAAAAATGTGCAGATAAGAGGGTGAGACTCATCAGAATGGAACTGTATCTATTATGACTTTTCACGATTTGCAGGAAATAAAATGTGAAATGTGTTTTCTTTTACCACTAAATTTTAGCACAGAAGGACTTAAGGGTACTGCCCTTCAGTTTGTTGGAAAAGCCCATTTTAGGTTCTTTTTCTTATTGGATGAAACTGCTTTCTGAGTAATTGTGGCTTTGTATTTTATGTTGAGTAAAGCTGAAGTAGCTAATTTTTCTATTCTGCCCTCCAAGTGGATTCTTTTTAACAATTTACATACTATGACAAATAATTATGTTCAGTTGTTTTGATGCATCATAAAAAAAACTTACAAATACAGATCCATTAATAATTTAAGCCATTTTAGATCCCACCATTTTAGGAAACTATGTAGAGGTACGAGGAAAATGCCCAAAATAGCACCTTCCAATTAGAGTTCTAGCAACTTTCTGTAAGAGACGCTGAAAGCACAAAGGCCAAAAAGCCTTTGATACTAGTGTTAGAATGGAACAAATTTATAAATAAGGTGTATTTCGGCAATGAACTTGCAAATATCTTTGTACTAAACTAAAAAGATAAAATAAGTTAACTACTTCTTCTGTAATTATGTACAAAATGTTTAATTTATTTTGATCTCTTTAGAAGTATAAAAGAAAAAAACATTCAAGAATATTAATCTCTTGTAATGTTTGCTAATATAAAAACAAAGTGTTGTATTATCTTGAGTGGATAGTATCACATCAAATATATATATATGAAATATAAATTCACTAATGACAAAAAAGATTTTAAAGTTTAAAATGCAGTACTTGTCACTTGCATGGTATCTCCCACTGTAGATAACCAAATGTTACTCACACTTTTTTTTGAAAGAGAGAAAGCAATCCTGGATTGCTAAGTATCCCTGTCTAAAAAAAATCCTCTAGATACCAGCAAGTGGAATTATTGCTGCCTTTAAGGCAGTGAATAAATTTAAGACTAAAAATGCACTGTACGATTTTTTTTGTTTGCCATGGAGTCAACAATAAATATATGTGCTGGCATGTGCATACACTTGTTAGACTTTAGGAAAGGCAGGTTGAAGAATAGCACTGTTTTGTATCTGCATAACTTTGTTGCACAATTTTTTCATCATTTTAGTTGGTGTTTTTGTTGTGATAAGGAAAGGTTTTGGTGGTTATTTGCATAGAGTTAACAATTTGCCTCTCAGCTGGTCCACTTAGCTTGGTGGCTAAAACATCCAGTTTACACTTACAGAAAACTATTGGTCTTTAACTTACTCTTCAACTGAGAATAACACACAGTCATCATGATTGATTTAGCACAAATTGTGCTTCTGCTAACAAGTCCCTAGACCAAGTGAACTAACAGAGGAACTGAACTGCCCGTTTTAAGGAACTGAGTCCCCAGGTCTCAGA